CTCGATAGCTGAACATGTGGGGAGAGAGTTCCTCTTCCTCATCCTTGGAGAGCTGCAAGAAACAGCCCAGGTAAGAACAACAAGTTGTTCCCAGCTTTTGAGTTCTGTTTAGCCACTGCACACACATACATTGAATTCAAGACCTGAGCCTTCTGTACTGGTCTCAATCTCCTCAGTCTCCATTTGATTCTGAGTTTCACTACCTCCATCATGAGGGCTGGCTGAGCTCTTTCACTCTGCAACAAGAAGATTTGTCACTCAAATTCATCTTTTGTCAGTTTCTCAGCTACAGCATCACAAAGCAGCTACTGCAATCAATCAGTGCTCAGCAAGAATCAATCAGTTGCACTTTAAAAGTTGCACAGTTACCATCCCCAGAACAGGCTTATGTGGGCAGAAACCCCTGAATACTATAGAAAGGAAAGCCAGGAGATGTTTGTTAAGGAAACTTTCCTGTCTGGACATTCAGGAGCCACTCTGGCAGTTCACACTCACATCAGTTGAGCTAGGACTGAAATCCCTTCACAGTGGGTGGTACATACACCTCATACGCAGTCCCTTAGGTCATGTGTGTGACTATGCTATAGTATATATACTATGAAGTTTACTGTCTTAGATTCTTAAGTATGTTAAATATTTGTAAGTTAGGCCTGTAAATGAGCTACTGTTGTGCTTATAGTAAGTTCAATAGAATCTTATGTTGACTTATTTAAATTAATTAGGCTATGGATTAAGTGCAGTTAAAATCTTGAGGCCTAAACTGTTGGTCAAATCCAGGACTATGTTTGACAAGGGGAGGTCACATGAGCCTTATGACTCAAGGGGAGGGTCTCCCTTAGTCCTTTTCATCCTTACTCTGTCTTTTTCTATTCTTACCCATTTTTCTATTCCCCAGGCTTCCAGGAAGATAATTTTAAGTTGGTTTAGTTTTAGATTGATTGATTTTAGTCAGTTTTCTTCTCTGTGTGCTTTAACTACCTAGTAAGTAGTAGAGTGAACTTTGCCAACAAAGTTTGTCTTTCATTTAATTTTAAACCTGCTTTTGCTGCTACCTTTGCCAGCGATTCTTTGAGTGAACTAAAACATTTACGATGCATTCTTAGCACACCCTTATAGATGGGTCACAAAGTGCTACAAAAAGTAAAAGGCATGGAGGGTCTGAAGTCTAGCATGAGAGATTCCTTTGAGGAAAGAAGACATTACTCATGGTCTTACATCATCTCTACTATGTCTCACACAAAACACCCAGGTTAGTTTCATATGACAGCTCTAAGATACTTCGCTCCTAACAACCATCCTCCAGGTTGCCAATATAAGCAATACAAGAGAACTTGAGGTTCCAAAGGTCAGAGTTAAAGCAGCTGAAACACCTTGTACAATATGATTCAAATCCCCAGGTCAGAAAGGCCATTACCTGTCAGCATATCTCAGTGTGTTTAAGGTGTACTCACACGAACTCATGCCTGGAGAAATCATTGCTATCTGCAAACACAAAAGAAACCTTAGTGACATATCTGACTTTTGCTCATTAATGTTCCTACAGATCTCACCACACAGCTGGGACATTTGAGGACAAAGGGCTAGAGTTGAGACAGCCAAGTCCATTTTTCTTTATGGATTCTGTGGGAAATGCCAGCATCCCTGCAACCAACTTTCCACTGTCTTTGTGTGCACCTGCTATGCCTCACCATCCACAGAAAGCAAAGCCCTTTGAGAGTATATCAGGCTCTCTTGCAGATTCACTGTATTAAAAAGACTTCCTGCCCTTCTTCTACTGGAGTTGGGCATAACTCACCAATTTATTATCTCACTCACCATGGGCAAGTTTCCATGAGGAAAATGTTTAGTCTTTTGGGTGGTTTTTTTTGTTGGTTTGTTTTTTTAAAAATATCTAAAGCTTTCTGACTTAAAAAAACCTTTGCTCTAGAGAACATGCAGCTATTTTGTCAAATTATAGAATGTGAGCAGTGTGCTTGACTTGTACATACTCACCATGCAGGTCCTTGAGTTTGCTCCTATGAAAGAGTCTCTTAGCACCTGTGTCAGCTTGCTCTCCCGAAAAGGGGTATGAGACTTGTTCTGCCCTAAAGCTCGGATGCACTCCTACAAAAAAAAAAAAAAAAAGTCTTTTGAATGCAGAATTAGCACCTCTCTTCAAACAGCTCTGCAAGCTGTCAACCACCAACTGCTGGTAAACCCAACAGGCTGGCAAACAGTTGCATGTATTGCTCTAAGTTCTTCATTGTCTTTAAAATATACTTCAGGTATCTGACTGTCTCAAGGCAGTAGGTATAGCCATCATATGCCACAAACCACCCCCCAAAAAAAGCCAACTTGAACAACGCTTGAAATAGCTATACCAATGTCTGACAAGACTGCACTACTTTCCTGGAAACATTCTAAATGGAAGTATACTCTATTTTTAGGTTGATCACATTCTAAACTAGTACCTTTTTGGTTGTTCTTCCCTTGTACTGGAAAGAAACAGAATAGATAAGCCTAGAGTTGAACAGAATCCACGTGTGTATTATCACTCTGCTCCAGGAGCTGTAGCTCACCTTCAAAGCCAGCAAGCTCTTATTGATTTCAGCACCTTCCATCCGTGTCTGCCGATCAGCACTAGATGTGTCTGCACCCCTTTCATTTCCTGCCAGATCCACCAAGGAAAATTTGCCAATCATTTGTCCTCTTCGGCGCAGTATGATTTGGAAGCAGGCATGTGACCGTGAAGAGCTGGCATTTGCAAAAGTGTGCCCAGATGTCCTACAGCAAAGATGCAAACAAGACTTAGAAAAGTGTCACAGAAGACAACAGGTCCTGACAGCATAAGATAAGACCTGTAGCCATTTAACTATCCTCCTAGGCTTTATCCCCTGCTTTTATACTTTAAGTTTGTGTGAATTATGGAATTGCTTCTGATCTGAGAGCACCAAACTACTTGTGAAAAATATGAACCTACACCCTGGCTATGGAAATTTAAGGCTATTTAAGCCACCTGGCTCAACTCAGCCAGCCTACATTGGATGCCTAAATGCTAAAGCCTCGCATGCATTTGAGCTGGAAGTCACACCTTCAGCACACTACATGTCATTTTCCTAATGCATCTGCCATTATACAGTAAGCTCAGCCAAGCTCCCCACTAAACAGCATTAAGCTGTACTAGCACATTACAATCATGATAAATCCCTTTCTCCAGCCAAGCTGGCTTGGCACTTCACCTCTGCTGTGCAGCTGCACCTGCCCCATCACTACAAAGCACAGAATGACATCTTTTAATTTAAATCTCCCTGTGACCATCACTATCATTTATTCCCTGAGAATGCTGGCAGGTTCACTGCTCCACCCTTGTCCCTACTACTGAGGAAAAAGGAGGGAGGAGGGAGTAGCCTGAAATGTAAAACTAGTTCATAAACTGCCAGCCGAAAAAAGGATGCACAGAATGCTGAATAAGCTTTTAGGATGTGCATATTTGCCCACACGGTGCAGTACAGAAGCCAAAGAGCTCTCATTTGCCTATGAACATTTCCACAGCAGTTGCAACCTAACTGAAGCAGATAACACCCAGTAATACAGATTTTAGTACCAATTAAAGATATCAGTATGATGGCAGAGCTGCCCCTACCACAGCCTTTCTTGCCAGGATGATGCTCCAAACCTACAGCTGTCCCTTAGCACCTGCTTTCAAGGATTCTTTCGACAAGATTCCTGAACAACTTGCAGTATTTTTGTTGCCTTTGGAATAGCTCATCTGGCCTGCAGTTAAGCCAAACCATTTTTGCAACTATGGTTCATACCAGACACTGTTCCTTAATCTTACAAGCCCACAGGGAGCTACCTGTATTCCTGTAAACTAGCTGATACTTCTAGAAAGGTGGCCATCTCCTCATGTGAATGTTTTCTTTTATTGGAGTTGCATGAGGACATATGGACGAGGAGTTCTGACATTTTTCTATGGAAGGCACCCACTCCCCTTCTAGTCCTTTGTTCTGTAACCGCTTCCTGGTATTCATGCAGAGGTGCTGCTCAGTGCCTTTACTGGGAACAAGCTTCTGTTTAAGACTCAAAGCACCAGCTACAGGCATCATATGTTTGTCTAAACATGGAGATACAACAGGACATGACTCCTCTTATAGGTTTTAAGTCACCAAACCTGCAGGCACTGCCAATCGTAATCATTCTGATGACATCCTCAGCACAGCTAACTGGTTTTTCTTGGAGACCAACAACCTGGACCTGTTGCTTGCCATCCTCCAGGACTCGAAGCTTGGCTTTCTTATTCAAGAGGTCAAACACCTATATTTAGGCAAAAAGATTAAGGCAAATGTGAACAAGGACTCCTTGTGAGTATTTTTCCCTGTCTTTATACAAAGCTATATAGAAACAGCATCTTTAACATAGACATCGAAGTCAATTCCAAATTCAACACCAATAAAAACAGAATACAGAGAACTATTGCAAGTATTAAGTTTGACTCAGGTACTTATGAAATATTCAACCAAAGAAATCAGGTAAAGATTTAAAAATAAAGGTCTTACTTTTCCATTGTATATTTCAAAGAAAGTCACATAGACTTCCAGATTCTGATTCCTGTACCTGGGCTGGTTTAGGAGGAGGAAGACATCTTGTGCTAGTGAGGAAAGACAGAAGTTCAGTTAACTGGTTTAAAACACATTCTAGTTGCTACTTGATCTACTTTCAAACACTGCACAGCTATAAGGCAGTGTCTAGCACTGAGTGACAGTCATCCAAACAAATGCTAACAATCAGTGCAGTGCTACCATCTGGAGAACAGATTCAGCAGCATCCTTACCCAGGGACTGAAAACAGGGAAATACAAGAGTTTCAACTGCTAATGCCACCCACAGACAACAATCCTTACTGCTCTGAGGGAACACTGGGATCCTCTATTGTTTTGGACACGCCTGAAAAAGTCACGTGTTTGTGTTTCAAGTGCATGTTACAGAAAGTCTAGAAAACATGCACCCTGAACATCTGCATTGCAGAGGTTTGGAGACAATATGCCAGATTAGTTGATCCTGGGGCTGGATCCAGTGCAGCTTTTCACAGTTAGGCTTCAGACCTTGAAGCTGAGCTGAAAAAGCAAAGACTCCTTGAGGGCCAGTCATAACTATTTTTCAGAGATCAGCCAATAGTTGTTCCTGGTTCAGCTGACTTGCTGCTGACTAGGTTCACACTTTCTAAAGGGAAGGTAAAAGTCAGGTTTCATGGTACTTTCCAGGCATTTTATATCAAGGAGGGACTTCTAAGCATCTGTTTTCTGAAATAATTTTGGACATGCCGGGTTTTTTTGCATTTAAGGCTTATAGGAAGAAACACAAGACATACATCCTTTTGCATAAAAAGTTTTCAATCACAAATGGGTAGAGTTATGTTATACTCATATGTCTGAGACAAAAGCAAAGCAGAAGAATCAAAATTTAATGGTTCTGCACTGTAAATACCCAATTAGAAACTGTGTCATCTCTTTGTATCAGAAACAAGTATCTTCTGATGAGTTCAGTATGGATGTAGACACTTACAGGCTAGAGGAAAAATATTTTGTGAAACGAATGAAAAAATAATCATACCTCCTTCAAACACCAGGTACCACCAGTGCTCTTATTATTGAAAACACAAATACTTTATGTATCTTCTACTGGACATGTTTAAAATAACCATACAAAATCAGATCTTATCTAGTTAAGAAAAACAAGTATTAATTTTATTTTTGTATCCTTAGAAGAATCAACTTACAGGCAAAAGCATATATGCCCTGTGAGGCATTCTGGGTTCTCCCAGAGAAGTCTCCACCCATAGTCTGTCAAGAGAAAAGGCCAAAGGTCAAGCATGGCACTAACAAGTCAGCCTATCAATTCTTAGACCCAAAACCAGACTAGGAAGTTACCACAGATAAACCACAATGCCAGCAGGAGTACTGGAATGCAGTACTAAGTTAGCTTGCAGCTTCCCTATCAGTTCAGAAAGATCTCACCTACACAAAGCAGTGCACCTGTAAGGCTCTGGGGTGCAGAGTCAAAGCAGTTGTTCCTCCAAGCAAACTGCTTTGATAGTGCAACCAAACAGCCTCTAGACAGGTAAAACAAAGCTTCATTTGTTAGGATTTAGGTTGAATAACATTATTGCAGCTACTTGCAAAAGTTAACATGACATGAAAGTACAAATTTAGAGCAGACAATACCTGTAACTCCTTTGACCAAAGTATCTTTAATCACAACAAAGTTTTCAGTTAGTGCTATCCTAGTGATTTGCTCTACCACTGTTACTTAAAACACAGCTCAATCCCATGACATATTCTCAGTCTACCAGAGTTTAATGTGCAGCACTCCAGTCTCAAAGCACAGCTGTTGTCCCTGCACCAGTTCTGCCCTAGGATGTGAAAGGGAAAGTAACTTCACCTGTGATTTTAGTGCATCACAGCTGTGTTACTGTAACAATCCTCAGGTAAGCAGGTTTCTCTAGCCTTTCCAGTGCAATGAAGGCAGCCTGTGCTCAAACTTCTATAAAGCTCAACTTTTTGTCTGGATTACCGGAGAATATCTACAACGCACTACATAACACTAAAGATAGGAGGTCCTAGCCTAAAACTTGCCTCTAACACTGAATGACAGCAGTGACTGATTACTCAAAGCAGTGCGTTAGCTCAGTCCAGTGCAGATCACTGTGGTTTGAGGTGAACGCTTCTTGCGGAACAGGAGAGCACATTTGACTCCACTATTGTGCTGTGAGAATTCTTCCCCATAGTTCCCAGAAGAAGAAAGTTAAAGACAACACAGCTGTTGAAAATTTAGAGCAAGCTTTCTCTTTTGAGACAAAAGAACTTTCACAACCCTTGAAACTGCAACTGTTAGACTGGAAGGAGTGGTTAGAAAGCAAACACACTAACTCACCCACCTCACAAACAATACCAGATCACTTAAATGTTTATGTGCATCAAGAGGCTTATTCTTACATAACTGCTGAATTCCTTGGAATGCCTTCAAGCTCAAAGCATAGGATAGACAGTAGCCTTTGTCCCAGATGTAGACTAATAGCCCCACTTTACAGACAGGAGTTAAACAGCAACAGGCACTTGAGGCAAGGACTAGCCATGACTAAAACTAACATACCAGGACATCCTAAATCTTTCAAAGACAACTTTTCTTTTTTCTAAAGAGAAAAAAAATCTTTTTCTATTTCTTATTTCTAAAAGGATTTTTTCTAAATATTTTGAAAAGCAGTACAATTCTCCTCACAACCTCCAAGGAAACCTACTAGTACATAAAGCTACAGAAAAAGAGTTAACATCTTACAAAGTATTAGCTTTAAGACAACAAAACCAAGGTCCAAGCCTCTTACACAGCCCTACTAGTGCTCAAACATTGGGGAGCTTTGAAATACTTTATCAAAGCTAGAAAATTTATGACCTTGGAGAAAAACTTACATGTGTCTTCCCACTGCCTGTCTGGCCATATGCAAAGCATGTCGCCTTCCCACCCTCAAAGATGGTCTCTACAAGAGGTCTAGCAGTGAATCTGAATATTCAAAAGATAAAAAGTAGTTAAAGCAAATATTTCATGCACTGCTTCATCATCATCAGTTTTAACAAGAAAAGAAACTCAAAAAAATCAAATGCTTAGGCAATCAGCAAGGCTATGCCAAAAATAAGCCTTAGACTTTTCAGTCCTTTGGCTTCCTCCAAAAAGGATTCTAATACTTATTTCAAGTAAGAGTTTCTTTAAGCTTAGACACCATCTAGCTATAGCTCTATGCTTTTATCTGAAAGTCATTTCCAGTGAGCAGCAAGCATTACCTGTATACCATTTCATTCGAAGAAGTTTCATCAAATGAAAAGTCAAATCTAAATGTTTGGGTTTCAAGGTATTTTGTTAGGTCCACTTTCTGCTTTGGCTCATGCACCATCAAGACACACTTGCTCGGAACAGTAACCACATCACATTCCTTTTTTAGAAGTTCTGTTGACAGAAAAGACCCTCAGTTTTAACAAAAATTAACAAAGTCAAACTGATCAAGACAGCTGTTTGGTCAGTACACTCACCTTGCCTATTGAGAGGACGCTTTCTCACACAGACACAAATCCTGTGCTCTTCTATCTAAAAGAAAAGTAAGAAAATAAGTAATTATTTCCTAATTACACTTTATTACAGAGAGATCCAATGCTCCCTCACATCCATTTTGTAACATGCTGATCAGAGTTTCTGCTGCTTCTTCTGAGCTGAAAGGGATGCAGGGACATCAGTCTTGAAGTGCACTTCGTGTAAAAGCAACACTACAAATAATTTCTCTTTATGCAGCATTCTCCAACACATAAGATGGGAATGCTTTCCAGCAAAATTTTTGATAACAATACTGCAGTTATGGGCAAATAATTAATCAGACAAATTAATAATTTCATTTCTTCTCCTGTCACACAGTGATACATACACAGCATTTTTAATGGCTGAGTGTACTGACCAAGTCAGGGTTCTCTAGTTTTCAACCTCTTTTTACTTCCTCCACTTTCTAACCTATTTAAAACTGCTTAACATATTACTTATATTGACATGTTCTGTAATAGTTAATTTTAAATTATATCTACTTCTACAACAGTGGCTGTGCCACTTACAAACTGATGGTCATATATCATTGCATGATAATTGCTGAACCACAGGCTTTTCACTAGTGACACAAAGTAAAACAAGACAGCTTAGCCCTAAATAGGAAAGCCAAGTGACCTCACAGATACCAGCAACTTCCTCAAGCTCACAATATGCTCAGATGATTCCCAAGGTGCAGTGATGCACCAACTGCTTGATGCCAACATTTTCAGTGCAAAATAGAGAAGTCTGTCTACAGGCTGCAGTTAGTAGCCTCAGTATTTACTTACTGGATCACTTATAGATATTGGCTGGCAGTTTAAAGTTTCTCTGAATTCCTTGATCATACGCGCAAACTCCCAGTTTGGACAGGTGCTGTCAAAGTCCTGCACGGAAAAACCATGGATGTGAATGTAATTGATCTGTTACAGCAGAAAAAGGCCCCAGAGCCTATTAAACAAGCAGCTGTATGCAATTCAAAGCATCTTACAAGATTCACAATTTTCTGAAACCAGAATCAATCCATCCTTATGTACAGCTTTCTAAGAACAAAGCCTGTCCAAAATGTTTTGATTTCAACTACTGTATTACAGTGTCATATAGAATCTCCCCTTACAAGTGTATTGTAGAGTACTCCACCTGTGCTCGTTTGATCCTGATTTCACTCATTTGAGCTCTCTTTTCTTCTCTCTTGTTTCTCATTTTCTCCATCTCTTTCACAATGTTAGATCTTCTTCGAACTGCATAAAATAAAAACAATTTCTTGGATTAAAATTTCATACTCGATTTTAAGCACAAATACTTCTACCTATCCAGGTTGCTGACAGACTAACTCATACAGGAAATAACCATCTTCCGAAACCGAAAGTGAAACTGAAACCGAAACCTAGAACCCTGATCTAGAACCGTAACCTAGAACCCTGACCTAGAACTGTAACCTAGAACCCCAACCGAGACCCCTGACCTAGAACCGTAACCTAGAACCCTGACCTAGAACCCTGACCTAGAACCCTGACCTAGAACCCTGACCTAGAACCCTGACCTAGAACCCTGACCTTCAATGTCCAGTTAAATATGGCAGCTGCTAAGTATTCTCGGTTAAATACGGCGGCGCTTTGTATATCTTGCAGCACTTCCTTCCCAAGCCAGATCTAACTATCACAGAAACTGCCTTGGAAGTCCCACTACCACCCTAAAGCAAAGGCAGCATTTCTGAAGCAATATCATTATAACAGAATTACACATCTGTAATAAAAAAAAGATATTCTGTCTTGCTGCCAAAGTCACCTTTTCAAAGCTTTAGTCTCTGAGTACATAAAGCAGCAATCACATAGTGATTGACTGATGAGTCAGTCTTTATCCACTGCTCCCTGGTACCTGGGCTCTCTGAAGAGCTTGTCCTAGCAGCAGGCAGATGATTCTCTGTATTTTCATTTACACTTGACTGGGAGGCTTCTGGAATACAACCCAGCCCTCTAGCCCTGGTTTGGCCAGCTGCAGAAAGAAGCCAGACCAAAACCAATAATTAGATTGCAAAGATCAAGAATAATTTTGTAATTTGTAAAGCCTCATAGACCACAGGCATTTCTCAACTCCTGCAGCAGGAGAGAGAACTATCTAAAACCTGTGGTAAATCTACAAGTAAACGTTTAAATCCTCTACCAGTCACCAACTTTTACACAGTGCTGCAAATCAAGGTCAAACCAACTAGACAAGAAGTTAGTATCAAGCCTCTTATTTCAGTGTTTTTATAGAGCTTAACATGAAAGGCATGCCCTCAGCTATTCATAAGGTAGCCTAGTAAAATAAATAACTACAATTTTGTAATTCAAGGATGCTCAAGTTCTTGATGCACTCAACCAGTTCAGGTAAAACTACAACCAGTGTAGTTACAGGGTGTGTTGTCAGCAGTGTTAAGTCACTTCTCTTCCCACTCTAGCCCCATGAATACCATTTTATGCCATTAAGCAGATACGGTATCTACCCATCTTGCCCAGCCACAGCTCTCTGGCTAAGAGAGTATATCATTATGCACAACACCGTTTCAAAGTCCTTTAGAAAATATTTCAGGTAGGAGCCCTGGATATTTGCATAGTGGCAAACCTCTAGGTCTCTCATTTTACCTATGAAAGAGTTCAGGCTGCTCTCCCACTGGGATTTGAATAATTAAATGCACACAAAGTGAAAACTGTTTCACACTAAGAATTCACTGGAACGTTTCTCCACTCACCAGGAAGTGACACATATTTTCTGGTTTGCAAAGAAGTGCAGGGATCTACTGCCATCTCATCTTCCTGGAAGCTGCACTGGGATTCTGTGATAGCAGACATCCTGGAACGGCCACGCACAGCTTTGGAAAGAGGAATCCAGGGACACTTAGACACTTGCAATAATAATTGCTCACAAAGTACAGAGCAGTGGAGAGCAAGGTGTGGTTAAAAGGATCTTTTCCATTATCAAAATGCAAGACAAAACAATGCATGTGGGTGAAAAGTGATCAATAAACACACCACTACAAAAAAGCAATCAGTTCATTCCAGATTTGCAATTCCAGTGAATTTCATTCAGATCCCACTAAGGACTCACATAAGGATATGGCAGTTCCAGCACCTTAACACTTAATGCCTAGGAAGGAGGAAGTTTCAAGGCAGAGAATCACTAAATCCTCTGAAGCTTCACACTTGCAGGGCTGTATGAATTAATTCTTTGATGGTAACAAGGGTGCAGCAGCCTGGCAACTGGCCATGGGCAGCACCGTGCCCACCCACAGGCTGTGTGTGGTGTACAGTAGGCTGTGGCACTAGATTCAGTTAAAAGACTCTGTATAACCACAACAGCAAATATTTGAAAAAGGTCCCTTTCTACGCAGTCTCCATTTTCACATGTCAAGGTATTTCTTTCACTGAGATAAAGTCCTTCACAAAGCCTCCTAGGGGAAGGATTGGAATGTTTGCTTCAATAGATTTGTTAAAAAAAAAAAAAAAAGCAAATCTGGTACGAAAAAGGGAAGTGATATGCAAAAGGAAGAACTCCTTGCATCTCTCATGACCAGCAACTATTAGAATTTATCCAGAAAGAATCACTATTATTACAAAGGACACCAAATCTGTTGGAGACCAAGGGTTCATTTCCATTCTGAACTAAATTTCTTAGAACCATTCCCAAAATTCTTTGCTCCTGTTAACTCTTTACCTTGAATCTTCTGCTCATGTGCAGAGACATTAGGTGTGACTGCTGCAATTTTAGAAACAAAAAGCATCAGTTGCGTTATACTCAAAAACGGCATTTTATTCCATTTCCTCTTGTCCCACATGCCCAGACCTGATCCTATCTCACACTCAGCAGCACTGTTTCTATAAATGCTGGTGCTTCTGGACAGGTAGATTAACTGGAGCATTCACTCCATCTAAATGGGTTTGATTCAAGTGATTCTTGTATGTGAGGATATTCAGCATTGTCAAAAATTCCTATTGATTTGTGGGACTAAAGCAATATTTGTTTCTTAATAATCTATTTCTTAACTAATTCTGAAAGCAGAATGCTTCTAGTGCTTCTGCTTTCCTTCTTTTCTGAAGAAGATGGAGATAGACACCTGCTGATCTTCTTTAATTTGCTTAGTCTAAGAACAAGTCTGAAGTCAATGATAGCTTTCTAATTGGTGCAGTGCAGAGCTTGCAATAGGGCAGATACTCTGACACTCCTGGGCTTTAGCTAGTTACAACAACAGAAATTATTTGATTAATACTGAAAACACTGCTGCTCTTAAGTTCTGAGCAGGTCTTCAGGGATGGGACTGTGCCAATAGGACAGGCAACAGATATTTTAGATATGCAGTTAGATTCTATACTTCAGAAGGGCTGTGACCTCTATAAGGACATCTTTCCATCAAGCAGTGACTGGATTAACACACCTTGTGTTTTCCAGCTGCCTATCCAGTTCTATTAACAGACCTATATATAGACAGTCATGACTTTATGACATCATTTTGCTTGTCAGTTCATAACATTTATGGAGTTCTCTGAATTTGAGAAAGATCAGGATACTCTGATACAGAACAACTTCTTAACATTAGGATTCTTGGACAGCTCCTGCCTCTTTGATGCCAGGGAATTTGTACTGTTGTCTTCTGGGACCAGCTTACCAGTCTTGCATTGCATGCAACACAAGAGGCCAGACAAGCCCAGACGTTTTGTTTACAGCTCCATTGAATGGAGAAGCACAAGTTTTGGCTAAATATGCACTTTAAGAGAATCATTAAATTAGTAATCATTCAACCTCAGCATCATACAGTGTATTATAAATAGACCTGTAATGCTACCATTTGCAATTCAAAAAGCCTAAAGAATCAGCTAATAAAGCTAAGAGAAGGTAGAAAATAGGCATTTTCTACCTCCTGACACCTCAAGAAGAACAATTTCTTAGCAATCCCACACTGACATCTCTATCTACTCTTCTGGCTTTGCTCAAAACATTGTGCTGACATGCAATCAGGGAGCTGGGCACATCAGCTGGCACTTTGGCTGCCTGCTCTGAAACGTCTCCAAGCATAAAGCTCTACTTATTGTCTAGGGAGACTGCTTGATGAGGAGACATACATTTGTCACCACTATTTCCTTCTTGTCCTTTCCACTCTCATTCTGACACTTTTAATCTTAGTAATTGCCACTTAACTGCTGTTGTTTGTGGCATTTGCAAAGGTCCATACAGAACTTTAAAACTCGATACAACAGCAACTGCCTAGTGACATTTAAAGCAGGGAATAACTACAGCAATACTGGAGAAGAGGAGAACACATCAACAAACCCCAGCTCAGAGGAACAGGACAGCAACCTGTTAGAAGTGTTCCTGCCCTCAGGAGTCCAAAGACTCGTATGAGACAGTAACCTCTTTGTCAGCACTGCCTGAATGAGCAGCCTTATGAGGCACTAAAGTACAATATTGTGGCTACCATGAACAACCAGCACGATTGCACAAGGGTATAGCAGAGAAAAAAAAAAAAGACATTTTCTCACCTTCCCGTGGAGCAGGAATTTTTGAAAGAGTTGTTCTACGCTTCTGTTTCTGAAAAGCAAGGAATGCTGTAAGCAATTGGAGTAAGCAGCAAACACCAAGCACTGCTCTTCAGGGCAACATCAATACAACAAGAATTTCTGACCAAAGCCTAACTATGAGACAGAAAAGACACGTGAGAAATCTCAAACTTTAAGACTGAGAGTATTATACATAAGACCTATGCATCAGTAACTTACAAGAAACTAAACTACTTTAAAGCACTTACCTGTAAAGTTACATTGAAAGGCAAAGGAACATTTTCTTTCACATCAGGAGGAGGTAGCTCTAATAATTCAGGATTTATTGCAATCACGTCATTAATATCAACCTGCAAGAGCAAAGGCAGGATTTTATATAGTAGAAGAATGGTGCTACCACTTAGGGATTGCTTTTTTCTAATCTGGACTCTCAGTGAAGGCTAATAAACTGGACCCACTGCTAAATGTTACATTAAAATTGCTTAGAAGAGCAAAACAGTAGTTCCCATTCCATTTGAACAATCTGATACACCTAAGTACACCAGAAAAAATATGTTAGTTAAGCCATTTACCCTCATCTGCCAAACACCACACAGCTCTGCAGGTGCCATAGAGCACTTCTGAAGGACAAAGCCCATTTGGCATCCCCTGCTCTAATCTCCCACTGCTAATCTTAGTAAATCTCAGCAACTCTGTGACTTCAGTGCTAGGTGAGCATTAAGTGTTTACTGTGTGATTGTGCTTACTGAAATAAACGTCAAAGAGCTGCTTAGACTCTGGGAAATTAAGGATTCAGCATTTAATCCATAGCTTAATTCACCTGCATCTTCACTCACTACTGCAAACAATTTCACCTAGGGAAACCACTATCACTTCCTGACTGACCCTCACGTGAAATCATAATCCTGCTTTCATCTCATCATGAGGCACCCTGGCAAAGACAGGGATAGGGCAGGCTCAAGCACAAATACCACAACTCAGTCTCTGTTCCATTTTTCAAAACTAAGTTTACTGAAGAGATTGAAAGCACCTGTACACAAAAATTCCAACAGCTTACAACTAGAATTCACCTAACAAGGCAATACAAACACCACCAGGAAGTTCTTGAGTTCTTAATTGACTCTGGAATTATTTAAGTAAGAGTCCATGAAAACATAAGAAAGCAAGTAGATGAAGCTCTCTAAAATGTGAAAATACCACTTTCTAGTGTAAGAGAAGTAATTGATGAAGTCTAATTCATGTGAAATTGGTTAGCAGCTAATTGGAAAATTAATTAGCTCAGAAACAGGTATGTGGTCAATATAAGTTTGTGTAAGCATGTGCATAGTGTACATACATAAGCATATAAAAAAATTGCTGGGTTTTGAAGTATCCTTCCTAAAGATTTAATACCTTAGCACATACATGCAATTTAGCCAAGAATTATATCTGAATCCGTATATTTTTTTTTATTTGAATGCAGCAGGCACATGCACAGAGCAAGATTAGGTTTCAAACAATCAGCCAATGGCAACTTTTAAGATTTGCACTGAAATCCAGAGTCTGCACCTTTCTAGAGACACCAGAAGGACAATTACATTTGCTGAGTATCAGACTTAAGTGTCAGGATTTCAGCCGCATCACCTTCAAATGCCCCAGACTTTCCTCCCTCCCATCCTATTTCACACTGTATTTATTTCATATTGGTGCAGAGATTGAGGAAATCAAACCCAGCTCTGTTAACACAGCACCTTATTAGCAACAGATTTTAAAGAACGTCTAAATGCCATAGCATAAAACATGGAAAGACAACAAAGAGCCCACAGAGCTAGAAAACTGGAATCTTGGGACATTCAGCAAGAGGCCCAACAACTCCTTGACCCCTCTGAAGGGCAAAGGGTGCAGCTTTGGTACTGCAGCTCTCACACCTTACCTTGGCACACCCAGAGCATTGCCTTCATTATGTATAAAACAAGCGGAGCGAGCTGCAGCAGCGCAGGACAAGCACTGCCCACCCAGCGGGGCAGAAGAGCTGGGCCACGCCTGAGGAGCCTTGAGCTTCCCGGGGCCCATCCCGCCGGGGCCCAGGGGCGTTGGAGCACCCGGGGAAGGAAGGGACCGCGAGCAGCCGTCACTCACCTCCTTGCCTTTGGTAGCGCCGCCCTCAGGCCACTCCACGGTCACGCAGGAGTGCTCTACGTTCACTACCTTCACCGTTGCCTTATGGATTAAGCCTGGAAAAAGCCGGCATTGAGCCCAAACCCGGCCGCCACACGGCGCCCGAACTCCCATGGGCGGCGGCGGCCGGGACACTGCAGACTCCCCATTCCCCCCTCCTCACCACTGCTCCGCTGGATGTTAATAACGGCGCCGGGATGGACGTTGCGATAGAGGCGGGAGTCCATGGCACGGGCACAGGGACTGGAACCACGTCCGGCCCCAGCAGCGAAACACCCACCCGGCAACCGCCGCCGGTTTAAACGCCGCGCGCCGGCGTGCCGCGGGGGCTGCCGGGAGTCCAGGCGGGACTACATTTCCCG